TAAAGTGGGACTAAATTGAAACAAAAAAAATACTATAAGGGATCAAATAAGGATTTAAACCTAATAAATACAACGATAAGAGACCAGAACCTACGAGGAAAAGTGTAGAAGTTTTGGGAATGATCTGAAATGGGAACCAACCAAACCGTAACCGGTATTTTCTAGAACATGCAAGATTATCCTTTCACTTCGTATAAATACCTCATGAGTTCCCTCAATCATCATCAACCCAGAATTAGTTACCATCGCAATCTGCAAAGTTTACAATCTCAGCGAGGAAATATCAAAAAGATGTCTCTCATCCCAAGTTTCTTCGGTGGGCGAAGGAGCAACGTCTTCGATCCTTTCTCCCTGGATGTGTGGGATCCCTTCAAGGATTTCAACTTCCCCACTTCTCTTTCTGCAGAGAATTCAGCATTTGTGAGCACACGAATGGATTGGAAGGAGACCCCAGAGGCACACGTGTTGAAGGCTGATGTACCAGGGCTGAAGAAAGAGGAAGTGAAGGTTGAGATTCAAGATGATAGGGTCCTTCAGATCAGCGGAGAGAGGAATGTTGAGAAGGAAGATAAGAATGACACGTGGCATCGCGTGGAGCGTAGTAGTGGAAAGTTCATGAGGAGGTTCAGGTTGCCGGAGAATGCAAAAGTGGATGAAGTGAAGGCTTCTATGGAAAATGGGGTTCTCACTGTTACTGTTCCAAAGGAAGAGGTTAAGAAGGCTGAGGTTAAGGCCATAGAAATCTCTGGTTGATCCATGTCTTGCCTGCAAAATTTGGTTTGTTGTAATAAGTGTTGTGTCTTTGAGAAAGATGTTACATTGTGAATTGTAACTTCTAAGTGGTTACTTGTGTTCATGTCAATAAAATTCTGCATTTAGAAAATTTTGTACTGTGTCATGTGTGTGAAATATGAAGAATTGGTTCGGAAAATCAAGATTACATGAAAATAAGATTATAACACACTCTCTAGTCTTCTATTGGCTCAATGGGTATAGCGAGAAAATAAGACAACACCAAATTTAGATGAAATTTAATTGTAGGATGGGTCTTACTTTGAACATTAACTTCTGTTGGAGAGAAACTAATAGAGCGTGCTCTTTAACAACATCAAATTACTTGGAATAACTTGTTTATAATTAGTTCTTTTATATTAATTAGTATTATATATAAAAGGATAACATTTCTGCAAATGAATTTTTGAGGAATTAAATTAATAATTTGATCTTAAAATTTTAAAATATAAACATTTAAGTTGTAAATTTTGGAAAATGAATAACATTTGTATCTTTGTAAAATGATCCATTCATAGTTTTTTTTTTGAGGGGAGATCCATTCATACTATGTACACCTCAAATATGATTTTAATCTTCAAAAAAGTAAGTCCCTGCTCCAACAATTTTAACTTGCAGAAAATGATTATAATTTTTCTTAATCCTTAAAAGATATTATTTTATACCAACATTTGAGCAAATTAAGATTAAAATTTGGAGACCAAACACCTTATTGTAATCAATTAATTTAAAATAGTTCATACTATAAGAATAAATTGTGTATCCTAGAAATGTGTATATTATTAGTAGGTTAAATATAATTTTTGTCTTGTAATTTAGTATTATTTACTTTTGATTTCTATAAAAAAAATATTTTATTTTTAATTTTTAAAATTTTAAAATATTTTTTACTGGCAATCAATTAATTTAAAATTCTTCATACTATTTTTGTATCTTATAAATGTATAAATTTAGTAGGTTAAATACAATAATTGTCTTGTAATTTAATGTTATTTACTTTTGGCTCCTATGAAAAATTATTTTATTTTTAATTTTTTAAATTTTAAAATAGTTTTTACTGGTAATCAATTAATTTAAAATTCTTCATACTATAAGAATAAATTGTGTGTCCTAGAAATATATATATTTAATTAGTAGGTTAAATATAATTTTTGTTTTATAATTTAATGTTATTTACTTTTGGTTCCTATAAATAAATTATTTTATTTCAATTTTTTACATCTTTAAAATAGTTTTTACTGTTAAATTTTTTTAACAATAGAGTACATATTATATTTGCAGTATTTGATTTCAATATTATCGCATAGATAAATTAAATTTTTTTTTTTTTGCAAAACTTCAAAAACACATGTTGAACTTTAATTAAACTTAATAATATAAGCAACACAAGCAAGATAAGCTTTGTATTAACCCTAATTTCCATACAGATGATTGAGAACACAAGCTTTGTTAGGGGTTCCTCTCATAACTTCTACACTAGAGGGAGATCTTCTTCGTCGTAAGAGAAGTTTAATAGTGTGTTTGGATGAAGAATTTTACAAATTCAAGGAATTTGAAATTCTTGATATTTGAATTACTTTGATTTCAATTTATAACATTTTTAAAATATTTTGTTTGGATAAGTCAATTTAAAATTTTTTAAATTTTAAATTATTAAGTTGGATATGATAATTTGATTTCACCATATGATAAAATTAATTTTAAAAATATTTTTGAATATTTAATAATTAAAAACATGAAGAGATAAGAGATGAGATAAAATATATAAGTGAAATAATAAGAAAAAGAATATGAAGAATTTCAAATTCTTATTTTTTTGGAGAATTTGAAATTCTACTATTTCAAGGAATTTCATAATTGCTTGAATTTTAAATTCTTTATAAATTCTCCATCTAAACATAGTATTTCACTTCAAAGAAATTGAAATTCTTTAAATAAATGAATTACTCCATTTAAATTTTTCATCCAAATACAGTATAAAGGTTAGTCTATTATAGAGGTGGATGAAGGTGTGAGAACAGAAAAACATGCTACAAAGGATGTTTCTTATATGGGAAAACTTTTAAACTAAGGGTTGTGCTTTTTTCCCCTTTGATAATAGATGTTTTGATTAACTTAATGAGAGGAGGTTCCTCCTCCACCAAAGAACAAAGCTAAATTTCTAGAGGTTTGTATTATATATATATATATATATAT